AATCTGATCAAACCCGATCCATAATACGCCTCGCTAAAGTGTCCAGATGAAAACACAAGGTGCCCTGATGCCACCACATGCAGCCGTTTTCCTACCCGTCTCATTTACACACGCGTGCATGTCCACACAAAGGGGTCATGAAGATAATCTATACAAAGGCCCTGCCTCCTGCAGCGCCCCCTGAGGCAGCATCGTCGAAACCCTTGGGACTGTGCAGAGGTTGGTCGTAAAACGTATCATCATCATCGTCATCCAGCTCGGTATATGGGTCTCCTCTCCCTCTGCTAGGTCTATTCTTCCTACTCGAGTTGTCGCCCAGGTCGCCTGTCAGAGTGACGTCTTCCGGACTGCTCCTTGCAGAAGCAGCGGAGGTCATGTGCCAGCCTTCTTCCGTGTCCGAGCCTCTACGCTGGCGGCTGCCGTCATCCTCCTCAGCATACACAGGAAGTGACTCTTCGCGTGTGAGGAGGGCGCGCGTGCTGTCGCCTTGCACGAGACCGAGGCGTTCTTCTTCAGTTTGGGAGGTGCGGCGTTTCGAGTAGCTGGTGCTGCTGTGGCGACTGACGAAACTGAGGGCGCCGCGAGAGATAGGCCGGTCAATCGACGCGGCACTCTCACTGTCGTTGTTGTTGCTACTGCTGCGGAAGACGTTTTGGAAGCTGAACTGGCGGCGCTGCTGGCCTGCTTGACCGCTACTATGGGGCGGAGGTCTTGGCGGAGCGAGGTTATTGTTGGACGGGATGGCGTCTCTATCGTCAGGGCGATTTTGGGGTAGCTGGCCTGCCCATTGGATGTGCGTTGAGCCGTACGATTTATAGGAGGTGTCGTCGTCATTTCCTCTTTGTAGACCGGGCGGCAAACCATAGACGTGCTCGTGTGCAGCATGTTCGTCTGCGCCGTCCTTGTTCGGTACCACCGTGGTCATAGGTACTGGGCTCGTGCCGGCCCTTTTCTGGCTGCGGAAAGCCTTGTGTTCCCTCCGGCTCCTGCCTATCCTACCAAAGAAGCCTGGGTGGACCTCGCTATCCGGCTCACTGATATCATCTTCCTCGGGAAACCTACTCATACCCAAAGGCGGGTGGATTGTCTTGGTCCTCTTAACGCTTCCACTCGCAGTTGTGCTTATCGTCTTCCTCCTTCTCACGCCATCCCATTGGACCTCCTCGTTCTCGCCAATTGGCTCCATCATTTCTTCTCTCAGCTTGTGCGCCTCCTCCATCTGCCTTTGGCTTCTGGCCTTTGATATTGCGCGTACAATTGCTCCACCGCCTCTGATGGTGTCGGCGCGTGGCTCGTATTCTGGCTCTTCTTGTTCAGCAACTGTGCGGACCTGATCCAGATCTCCCTTGAAGACAGTCGTATCCGGCACGTCTTTGGCAGATTTGGCGAGCTGCAGTAGGACAACGCCAGAGCAGATGACGAAGAAACCTATGACTACATTTGCGATTTGAGCAGGTGTCCCGTGGAAACCACGGAAGAGGATGGCTGATGCGACGATTGTGGAACTGGTGAAGTAGACGTAATAAGTAGGTGTAACTAGAGCAGCGTTGAAGAGGTTGAGCGCTTTCTGTTGGATTGGTTAGCGTAATGATCAAGCGTCTGGATATGGTACAGCACTTACGTTGAGATAGACGATCTCTGTGAGTAGTGTGGCTATCACAAAGACGAAGAGCACGTAAAGGAACCAGTGCTTAAACTGCGACTCCCCATTGATCTGGGCAATGATAGCACTGCCCAGGCCCTGAGTTGCAACGACCGACAGCCCACCAATTAGAGAGCACACTGTCAGATACACTAACATGCTCTTCTTGCCATACCTAGGCCCTGCCCAGAGGGCCACTATCACGCATCCCACGATGATCACGCCTGCGTACGATAGAAAGCCAGGCGCAATGACAAAATGCTGCATCTCCTGGATGTCAGCGACAGCAGATTGCTCCGGTGCACTGAGGACGATGACCACACTGCCGAGTATGCATTGAAAGCAGCCAATCTTGCCCACGAAGCTCAGCCTCTCTTTCAAGAAGATTGCGCTCAGGATCGCAGTGATGACCACACTCAGCGCTCCCATAGGTGTAACTATTATGGCGTCGACGAACATGTACGCGGCGAAGTTGCACACTTCACCGATGATCATGAGAGTCATGCCTATCCACCAGTAGAAATTCTTGAGGTAGCCATACCCCTCGCCTGCTTCTTCATTGTACTTTACGTTTGCCCTAAGCAGTCCAACCTTCTTCAGAACGAAGCTGATACCGATGAAAACGCCCGAGGATATCGCTAGGACTATTCCAATGACCTTGTAGATTGGAGGTCGACCCTCCGCAGTCGCTGACGAGGATGAAGTAGCAGATGGTGACGGACTAGTGGATGTAGCATTTCCGTCTGCGCGGAGCACGAGGGTGGCGGCCTCGAGGAGGACATTACTAGCGACTTCCATTGGGAGAGGTGGGTCTTCGAGGCGCGAGAGGAAACCAGATGGACGAGACAGCGCTCAGCGTATGCGCTCGACTGTCGTGGGTAGCGATGGCATATGCGCTCCTTCGTGTGGGTTCGTATTGAGGCCCTATGCGTGGGTGTCTGCGTGTGGCGCAACGATTGTTCGGTATCAACTGGCCAATTAGTTGGCTTGGGAGCTGTTGAAGATCTACTGATGTTATAACTCTTCGAAAGGGAATATGCTGCCGCGATTCTACAAATCAGATACCCGTCTTCCGTCCGTGAAGGATTGTACTCTTCGCTGTAAAATGCTCGAAAATCTAGAAACACTTGAGATACAAGAGTTCGTTGGTGGTAGGTGCTCCTGGTCAGTTGCTAGGTGAAACCGATAAGCAGGGAATGGCTCGTGCTATCGTTCTGGATCGCGAGAGGCAACGCGTGGCTTCGGAGTGGGCTAAGCATGGATGGGAATAAGCGTATATAGGATAGATTGGTTGTACAGAGAGCTTGCGCGTCAGTACAGAAGGGAGGTTTCAGCTCTGAGTTGGATGCATGAAAAGCAAGGCGGTGGCATAATGTACAGTGTAATAAGCAGTACCTCTTGGGCTCAATACGTTCAGCCGGGGCGTTTCGCTTGTGCTGTACACACGCAATGAAATGCATACATACATCCTCCGTACAGCTGTCAATCGACCCCTGTAGTTGTCCATGGTGGGGCTTAGCGCTAACTAGGCTAGGAACGCGTGTTATGGATCTGTGCATGGCCAACCACATCTCCGATACAGAAACTCGACTTCGTGTTCTCAATCTACATATCTTAGTGTACATATATCTCTAGGTACTGCTCAGCCGCACCAGATAGATGCCTCAGGTTACATGCTGAGGCTAAGGCAGGTCACTCGAGGAGAGGTTGTGGAGCCTATATTCTGAGCCTTGTTTCTCCAGCTTGATGTTTCAAAGAAGAGGGCTGTTGCCCACATCTCTCCTAGTTCCGTTGTTTTCTACAAACACTGCACAAGGACTTGTCTGACCTGTAGTTTGCAGAGATGATGGTGACTTGTTCACAGATAGTTACGTCATTCACTTAGCATTTTTGGGTGGGCGTTTCAGCAGAAAGTACCATCTCGAGCAGTGCTCCATTCTAGTGATAGAGGTATAAGCTGAAAATGGTAGACACTGTGTGTGGAGACAGACTTCTCCGTGATTTTCGGTCGCCTCCCAGGTGTGTTGGTAATAGCCATACCATCACCGAAGAATACGGTGAGGCGCGCCAATGTTGACTATCGCAGTGGCATGATATGGTTGGCAACCACATCACATGGTGCTTGAGTAGGTTATCCGACCGGCTTCCTGCAATGACCCAGCTTACAGAATGGATGAACCAAAGATTGAAGGGTGGGTATCTTACAGGTGTCTAGACTGACGATGTATTCCAAGGACTACTTTTCAGCATATACAAATTCGTTTAGCGTCCCGTACGACTGCCTTGAGCCAAGAGTTGTAGCATAGGTTTGCTTACAATCTAGAAAGGATTGTTTTGATCAAGCCACCTTGCAAGGCACTAAACCCATAAGTGAACGGCCACCAACCTATACTAGAGAACCAAATGGCATGATGGAAAGAGACCCTTTCGTGCGTGAAGGTTGTGTATCTGATGCCAGTGCCGATCCTCCCGATCTCGAAGATCCAGACCTCTACCATGGAAGTCATGAGGAGTACATTTCGAGGTAGGAGAACTAGATAGAGGGCCAGAAATCTGAAGACGTTATCCTGTAAGTCGCTGAAGCCAGACTCGGCTAGCAATTCCTTCGATCAAGGTACTACGGAGGACACGAGATCATCTTTGCCCTTATATCAAGGCCTATGCTAGAGACAAGACTTGACTCTGGTTCGGGAATGTCTTGGGACAAGACCCAGTGAACTTCGCTGAAACTGTACCGCATCCAAGAGAGTCTACCAAGGCTGGATGAATTGTAGTCAATCGCCTGTGGTCGAGACATTGGGCCCAAGGGTAAGGCGGAAACCACGTTACTCCATCTCACATCGTGCTCTCGGAGATCACATCGTGCGGAGCATGGTCTTACTCAAGAAAGCATTGGTATCAGAAGAACGCAGGGGAAGATCAGCTATTTTACGTCAACTCTCGGTCATGAGGTGCCAGTGCATTCCATAACCAAATCGTGCTGGCTCGATTGAGCTTCCATGTTGTTAAAGATTTTATACAACGACGTTAACCGAGCGATTTGAGTCTAGGCCTATTCAGAATAGTCACTAACGCTAGCGTACAGTGAGATAGATCGAAGACACCCCTTTTCATTTCAAGTGCTCCAAGATTGGTGGCACATAGATGCTCAAATCCCACTTCCCGAGCGATTGCAATGGCCAAGGCCACAATATTACCCACTAGAGAGCCTCCTGAAATCCTAGACACCACCAATGTACACATTTTTGAGTACACCGTTGGCGTAATCGAAGTAAATCATGAATACTCTTGAGATGGCTTCTGAGCAGCAACACGTTAAGATACATAATTAACCAGCGTTGGCAGATTGGTGTAATATGTCGCTTTAGCTCACATGGGAGAGCGCCAGACTGAAGTCAACTTCAGTTATGCACTGTGCGGTATCTGGAGGTACTGTGTTCGATCCACAGAAGCGACATTTCACCTTCTTTTGTTAATGCTACTCTGAACTCATCTCACTATCGCGGAGGCCAAAACTTTTTGCTGTAGGCATTTCGAGACAATATCGTGCTCACGTAGGTAATGGTTACACGGCTGATGAGCCAATGGGCTACAGGTGGACTCGAATGCAGTATTGACAAAAAACTCGTATAACGTCGATCCATTTCATGTACTCTATCGTTCACACTCACCCACCTCCATTCTATAGCGTGATATTATTAATGAGCTCAGGCGTATCTCAGGCAATTGTGACAGTAGCATACTGTTACGGGCGTACTTCGCGTGACTAGATGCCTGAGGCATGCTAAAATTACGTGATCGAGCACTTAGCGAAGCGCTTGCAGGAGCACATGAACGAGTCCTCGTAGGAGCATTCACAGCACTGCTCGTACAGGCATGAAACGTGCAATATATGATGCGGGAGGGTTCTTGCGTTAGATAGTAGCTTCATGAAATGAGCATGAAGCTCTTATCTAACAAAGGAATCACTCCTTCCCATATACGATAACTTCCCGCACTGCTGATGTGCGATGCGCGATGTCTGCGACATGCGCGGGATTAGCGATGCTCGTGGTGTTTGCACATAGCGCACACGTCGCTAACGCCTGAGGCAGTAATCAGGCTGCCGCGTTACGGGTTGCGCCGTAACAACTAGTTCTATATTACCTTTTCATTCTACGAACATAAGTAGTTTTGCGTGCCCCGTATAATACGCTTGTTTTCAGTCACGCATTATATGTAAGGATATTTAGTTGCAGATAGTCTTCGGATTCTAAACTAATACCCATTTCACCAGTAACGATGATATCGATATCATCTGGCGCGATTGAGTGATCACATGGATCTAATGTGCAAAAATAGGCAAACTCAGTAGATGTCGCTTCTGTGGATCGAACACAGTACCTCCAGATACCGCACAGTGCATAACCGAAGTTGACTTCAGTCTGGCGCTCTCCCATGTGAGCTAAAGCGACAATGAAACGATGTGATTGGATGGACTAATTCTAGCTCAAAATCATTATATTCAATAAATCTTGTACGCAGAAGGTTAGTACACACGCCCAGACCGTGATGAGGAAGATTGGGGGGGTCGACCCATAATAAGTACAAAGTGCAGCATACTTGGCTACATGAAATAGGTATCTATCGATCTGAGGAATAGTTCCAGTCATAAGAGGTAGATCAGACTTAAGTATAGTCCCGTGTGCATGCCTTTTGCGTGACTGCTGTAGGGGTAGTTTTGGAAGTGTGCTCTAAGCATGAGAGAAACGATGGATCGTAAAAAAGCTTGATCAGTGCACCTTGCGATGAATGATCGTGTCAGAACGTCCGCATTTGTAGCGATTGCATGATAGGTCTTCCACCGTTTGTGTACATGACGAATAATTCTGATGCCTGATCCAAAGCGGGGTGGTTCCCTGCCGGTGTTCAAGATGCTGCATCAACGGCGTTCGGACCTCATCACATTCTCCGTACTGCCAACCACCCACCTACCTTTATCAGGCAGGTGCCTCTGCGTATCACGCCAAGAAACGCATGAGGTACCAGCAATGATGTTTCGTACGTGAGATGCTGTTGCCTAGACATACTGAATAAAACTTGCTAATAGCTTCACCTGTGAAAAATTGTATCTGCTACTCTACACTTACGTAGCTGTAGGTCAATTAAAAGTTACGACCCTCATTCCAGTTCACATCAACTATGGAGAAGCAGTCGTTTCTACATCCACAAGAGGGCTACGCCTCTGGTAGACCAATTGTCTATTCTTCATCAAGATACTCCAGAAAGCACCGGCTTCTTCTCCATTTCCTTACGTTCTCCGCTGTGATAGCTCTAGTCTATCACTTCACATGCCTCAGCGACTTCTTAAGCAACAACGTACCTCTTCCAACCGTTAAAGATGGTAGAGATATGCTCTCAGATCCTGATGACATCTGGGACAAGCTTCGTACTTCAAAGAATCTGGAATACTCAACCTGCTATAGCGACTTCCAGTGCGCTCGTCTCGAGCTACCTATGGACTACTGGAATGGCACGACTGACGAGAAAATCAGCCTGGCTGTGATCAAGAAATCCGCAGTCGTGCCAGTCACCGACCCAAGATATGGTGGGATGATCATGTTCAACCCCGGCGGACCAGGTGGTAGTGGCGTGACCTTTCTGCTTGGATCGTGGCCGAGGCTACGAAGTAATGTTGAACCAGAACTCACTGATGGTGATTCTCAAACCTCTCGTGATGTCAAGTATTTTGATTTGATCTCCTTTGATCCCAGAGGAGTGGGATTCTCAGAACCCAGGGTAGACTGCTTCCACAACCCAACGTTTGACTACAACTGGCAGCTACGGATCATGGAGGAAGGTATCTTTGGCAGCTCGAACGCAGCTTTTGGCCGACTATGGTCGATGAACATTGCAAAAGGCAAGTCCTGCGCATTACCCCAGTCAGGTCAAGTCGCAGCGGCAGATATCAAGAGGTACGTGACAACTGCATCTGTAGCAACAGACATGCTACAGATTGCTGAAGCGCATGGACGGTGGCGCGAGCATGAAGCTTCCCGTTTAGCGACGAAGATGTTCCCCGGAGCCGATAAACTCACCCTTCGGTCGCATGGGGTAATGGTAAACGAGCGTGCGTACATGCCTGGCAAAGAGAGCATTCAGTACTGGGGTTTCTCCTACGGCACGTACCTCGGCGCAACTTTCGCAGCCATGTATCCAAATCGTGTGCATAGAGTGATCATCGACGGAGTAGTAGACGCATATGACTACAAGAAGGCGTACTGGTCCGACAATCTCGTGGACACCGAGAAGGATATGGACCAGTTCTACTTCCATTGCGCACGGGTAGGCTGGCCCTCCTGCGCACTCGCCAACAAGACCAGCGAGACGACACCAGCGGGCGTAAAATATCGCACGCAGTCCATCATTAACAGCCTCTACCATGATCCTCTCCCAGTCATTGGCGAGGTTCCTGAAGTAATCACCTACAGCGATACAAGAAATCTAATCTTCGCCGCGCTTTACTCACCCATTCAGTCCTTCCCCTACGTTGCCAACGTGTTAGCACAGATCGAAAAAGGCGACGGCAGACTTCTCGCGCAGCTGCTACCTGCTTACCGCGACCTCGCTTGCCCAACCCCCAACACAAGCGCCAGTAAAGGAAATCCCAAAACGCAGGCTCTGTTTGAACCCCTCCGCAATAGGACGTCCAGTCGAAGTGTCTCAGACTATGACTACACGACCGCCATCGCCTGCACCGACGGTGACGACCGCACCGGCACCTCGAAACAAGAATTCAAGCAATTCTGGCACTCCTTACGCAAATCATCGCCCACGCTCGGTGAGATCTGGAGCACTATCTCCATGGCCTGCATCCATTGGCCCGTACGGCCGAATCACCGCTTCGAAGGGCCTTGGATCGCTAATACTAGCCACCCGCTCCTCTTGATAGGAAACATAGCCGACCCTGTCACGCCGCTGTTGGCCGCGAGGAACATGTCGAAGGGATTTGAAGGAAGTGTGGTATTGCAGCAGAACAGTGCGGGGCACTGTAGTGTAGCTGCCAGGTCAAGGTGTACGACTAGGTATGTCAGGCAGTACTTCCAGACGGGCAAATTGCCAGAGGTGGGGACAGAGTGTGATCCCGATGAATTGCCTTTTGGTGGGAATGCGCCAGGGGATGTTCTCTTTGGGAAAGAAGAACTCCCTGGATCGAACGAGCTTGCTGCCAGTATCTTTGAGGCTTCGAATACTTTGCGAAGTGGATCAAGGTTGCGTGATGCTGGAATGATGAAGGCATGGTTCGAACGCTGAGCGGATGCGCCGCTTTGGGATTGTACAAAGGCGGAAGAAAGGCTCGTCTCTGGTTGTCTTGTCAGGGACAATGCCAAAAGCACAGGCTTCAGCTATCGGGGAGAATGGTCTTGCCATATTAGGGATCCACTCGCTATATAATACAAATTGGAAGAAATCGCTCATCTAATCATGACCAAGAGCCATCTCCAGCTTACATGTTCGATTCACCTCGGCGCCCTTGTGACTCTATCAGCAAACTCTAGCGTGCATGCAGCAAGAAAGCAAGGGATCTCTTTCCTCCCTTCTACCCAAAACTCAATGAATCCCCTGATTTCTGACGCGAACAGGCTCTGCGGTCCTCCACTGACCTTCATAGTTCCATTCTCGCCATCGAACACAATACTGTTTTCTTCTTCCTCGCCCGTCTCCGGATTCAGTAGAGTCGGATACAAGATCGATGTGGCTTTGACCCGGCCATTGGGTTGGAAATCAAGCTTCCACCCCAAGATCGAGCAGACTGCCTCTCTGAACTCGAGAGCCTTCGCCTTGAATACTTTGTTCAACCGGTCCATTTTCTTTTCACGCTGAGCGAGGTCAGCCTCGAGAGCGGAGATCTGCAAGCGGTGGTTGTCGAGTGTGCTGATTGGAACAACCTTAGCACCTGTACCACGGTTCTCGAGCTGAGAGAGGAGAGCAGCATTTTCCTCGCGCAGGGTTTTAAGGGTAGATTGCTGGACTTTCTCAAAACGGGCAGTGGGGTTATCTCTCAGTTCCAGGACACGGGTACGCGATGATTCCCTGAGGGAGGTGAGTTGGGAGGTGGTGGCGCGGAGGTCTGCTTCGAGCATTTGGTTCTTGGATTGTAGGCGCTCGAGGTCAGATTGTAGAGTTTGCGCTTTGAGACGGAGACTGGCAACACGTTCATCTGGAGAGGTCATGTCTTCGTCACCATCGGCGTCCTGCGAGCGGGCCCGTTTGCGAGGGGATGATGGGGCTGGGGTCTGGGATTCGAGTTGTGAGAGATTGGTGTGGAGAGACTGTAGTTCAGATCTGTACTGGTCGACTAATCCTTCAAGTTCGTGAACGCGCTGCATACGAGCTTCGTCTACCTGCTCGGGACTGAACTCTGCTTCTTCCTCCTCAAGTGTCTTGATCTGTGCGCGAAGGTACTCGACTTCTTTG